CCATGTTTTTGGGTGCTTTGGGTTTTTTTCTTTGGGGTCGGTTTCTAATTTCAGTCCCTTGTGGTCAGAGAAGATGCTTGGTATGATTTCAATTTTCTTGAATTTTTTGAGGCTCGTTTTGTGTCCTATCATGTGGTCTATCTTTGAAAATGTTCCATGTGCATTTGAAAAGAATGTGTATTTAGCTTCTTTGGGATGAAGGGCTCTATATATATCAGTTAAGTCCATTTCATCTAGGGTGTTGTTTAATGCCACAATATCTTTGTTGATAATTTGTTTGCAAGATCTGTCCATTTTTGATAGTGGGGTGTTCAAATCCCCTACTATAATTGTGTTGCTGTCAGTATCTTTCTTGAAGTCCTCTAAGATTTTCTTGATATTTTTGGGTGCCCCTATGTTTGGTGCATGTATGTTTACAATGTTAATGTCTTCTTCGTGGATTCTTCCCTTGAGTATAATGAAGTGACCTTCTGGGTCTCTCTTTATAGCCTTTTTTTTTAAGTCTATTTTGTCTGATATGAGAATTGCTACCCCAGCTTTTTTTTCTTGTCCGTTTGCTTGGAAAACTTGTTTCCAGACTTTCACTTTTAGTCTGTGATGATCTTTTGTCCTGAGGTGGGTCTCTTGTAGGCAGCATATGTGTGGGTCATGCTTTCTTATCCATTGAGCTATTCTGTGTCTTTTGATTGGAGCATTTAATCCATTTACGTTTAAGGTTATTATTGATAGGTACTTATTCATTGCCATTTTTGTACCTGTGTTCCTCTCTGTCTCCCTCTTATCCTTCCTTCCCTTAAAGCAGTCCTTTTAGTATTTCTTGTAGAGCTGGTTTGGTGGAGGCATATTCTTTTAGACTTCTTTTGTCTTGGAAGCTCTTTATTTGGCCATCTATCTTGATTGAGAGCCTTGCTAGGTAAAGTAGCCTTGGTTGTAGGCCTCTGGTTCTCATTACTTGAAATATTTCTTGCCATTCTCTTCTTGCTTGAAGTGTTTCCATTGAGAAGTCAGTAGCTAACCTTATTGGGGCTCCCTTGTATGTTATTTCTTTTTTCTCCCTTGCTGCCTTTAAGATTCTCTCTTTGTCTTGGAATTTTGCCATTTTGATGATGATGTCTTGAAGTGGGCCTCCTTGGGTTCCTCTTGGTTGGGACTCTGTGTGATTCCTGGATTTGTGAGACTTTTTCTCTTATCAAATTAGGAAAATTTTCTCTCATTACTCGTTCAAATACGTTTTCTATCCCTTGTTCTTCTTCTTCTCCTTCTGGTATTCCTATTATTCGGATATTATTACGTTTCATATTGTCTTGCATTTCTCTTAATCCCTCTTCATTCTTTCTGAGCCTCTTTTCATTTTCTTGCTCTTTCTGTGAGATGCTTTCTACCTTGTCCTCCAGCTCACTAATCCTATCCTCTGCTTCATCTATCCTACTTTGGAAACTTTCTACTGTGTACTTCAATTCGGAAATTGTGTTCTTCATTTCCTCTTGTCTCTTGCTGATAATTTCCATTTCCTTTTTCATGTTGCTGTAGTTTGCAGAGAGATCATTATAGTTCCCCTGTAGTTTCTGGTAGTTCACTGTGAGCTCTTTGAACTTCGTAATAACCAGTGCTTTGAATTCACTGTCTGATAGTTGATCAGCCTCTATTTCATCTAACATTCTTTCTGAAGTTTCTGCTTTTTCTTTCATTTGGGGATTGTTTCTTTGTCTTCCCATTGTTTGAGACTCTTCTTGTTAGTCTCTGCTTCTAAAATTGATCTGTTCTGAAACCCTGGTTTTATGGTGTAAACTTCTGTGGTATGATCCTTGTGAAGTTCAGTGGTGCAGACTCCTTGAAGTTTCTTGATGTTCTTCGTCTCTACCTACACTCACACTGGTCCTCGCGCTGGTCCCTGCGTTGGTCGCCTACCACTGCTGAATGTCCCGGCTCTAGTAGCCACCTCCACAAGCACCCAGGCCCGTTACTGCAGGCCCGTGCTGCAGCAGCAGCACAGAGGCTGGGAATGTCCCGGCTCCTGTATCTGGCTCTCTCTGCTGCCCAGGGCTGTCACAGGGGTTTGGAGTGTCCCGGTTTCCATACCTGACTCCCCGTAGTCTAGTCCTGTCTCTAAGGCAGTGGCACAGAGGCTTAGAATGTCCCAACTCCCGTACCTGATTCCCCAGTGTCCAGTCCCGTCGCTATGGCAGCAGCACAGGGGCTGAGAACATCCCAGTTCCTGTAGAGGGATCCTCTGCCACCCAGGGCTGTCTCAGGGGTTTGGAGTGTCCAGGCTTCCGTACCTGACTCCCCGGTGTCCAGTCCCGTTGCTATGGCAGCGGCACAGGAGCTGAGAACTTCCCGGCTCCCGTAGATGGCTCTTCTGCTGCATCACAGGGGTTTGGAGTGTCTTGGCTTCCATACCTGACTCCCCGGCGTCCAGTCCTGTCGGTATGGCAGCGTCACAGGATCTGTGAACGTCCCGGCTCCCGTAGCTGGCTCCTCAGGGCCCAGGCCTGTCTCTATTGGCGGCGTCACAGGGGCCTTTGGTGTCCCAGCCCCTGCAACTGACCCTTCCGTTGCCCAGGCCAGTAGCTATGGCATCGGCACAAGGGCTGAGATTGTCCCCGCTCCGGTTTCTGACTCCTCTGTCTCCCAGGACCATCACAGGGGCTTGGAGTGTCCAGCTTCTGTACCTGACTCCCCGGCTCCCAGGCCCGTTGCTCTGGCAACAGCACAGGGGCCGCGTGAGACCCAGCTCCAGTAGCTGACTCTGCCGCTGTCTGGTATTTCAGCATCGGTCACAATCTCTGGTCTTTTAATTTCATAAATGCTGGGTAACCGATGGTTTATTGTGCTGTTTCTCTATAGATCTGCCAGGATTTTCACCCATGAGTACAGGAGCTAGTATCAGCTCCATCTTACTCCATCGCCATCTTCCCAGCATCCTCTGAATTTTAATTATGATATGTCTTGGTGTGGGCCTCTTTTGGTTCATCTTTTGATGACCCTCTGCACTTTCTAGAATTCTATTTCCTTCATCAAGTTAGGAAAGTTTCTATCATTTTTTCAAATAGGTTTTTAATTTCTTACTCTCTCCCTTCTCCTCCTATCAATCTCCTTGATGCAAATGTTGGTATGCTTGAAGTTTTCCTAGAGGCTCCTTACAGCGTATTCATTGTTATGGATTCTTTTTCCTTTTTGCTGTTTTGATTAGGTGTTTTTGCTTCCTTATATTCCAAATTGTTGGTTTGATTCTCAGCTTCATCTACTCCACTGTTGATCACCCATAAATTATTCTTCATTTCAGTTAGTGTATTCTTCATTTCTGACTAGTTCTTTTTTTATAGTTTCCATGCCCTATTTTATGCTGTTGAAGTTCTCTGTAAATTCAACTACTTTCCCCCTAAGTTCATTGAGTATCCTTATAACCAGTGTTTTGAACTCTGCATCTGGTATTAGTTTTGTTTATTTTTTTCTGTTCTTTTACTTGGGTCATATTTCTTGTTTCCTCATTTTGACAGCCTCCTTGTGTTTGTTTCTATGTATTAGGTAGAGCTGCTACAATTCCTGATCTTGATAGAGTGTACTAATGTAGTAGGTACCCTGTAGGGAGTTGGGCAACCTTCCCAATCACCTAAACTCTGCACTCCAAGTGCACCCCACCACCACTGTGTAGTTGTGTACACCCTTGATTGCTATTGGCACATCAATAGGACAGATTTATCCCCAGGCCAATCAGCTACAAGGACTGGCTATGACCACCAACCACTGTGGAGAATCAGCTGTACAGAAGCCCACTCCACAGAGCAGGACTCACTTCAGGCAGGGTTCTGGTGCCTGCTGAGTCTGCCCCTTGAGTGTGTTGTTGTGGAGGTAGTTGTGTGGCACTTCAGTGTAGTCTGAAGTTGCCCACTAGGTGTGCTGGCTCTGGGACATCCCAGGAGGTGCAGACCAAGATCAGCTGCTGTCTGTGCTCTGCCCAGTGCCACCTGGTTTGAGCTACAAAGTGATCTGCAGATGTAGCCATACTTGTGCTGGGTTTGAAGGTGCCCAGGAGAGACCATGCTGTGAACCAAGCATGCTGCTTGGTTCTCAGAGGCCACATGCTTTGAACTGGCTGCTTCTACTGCTGGGCACGGGGCCACTTAGAGAGAGGTATGGGGTTTGCTGAGGCCAGATGCTGCTTGTTTTAAGAGATTTTAGTAAAGCCTGAAGCATGAGACAAGACAAGCCACTCATATGAAAAACCACTGGAAACAACTTGGGTGGGCCTGAAAGTTTGGTGGGGTGGGGTCCCAGAGAATCACTAGGGTGGGCAAACAGTGTTAGCCAGGTTGATGGAGACTCAGATATGGTCTCCAGGCTCTGGAGATATGGTACCTGCAGGCTCTGGAGATATGATACCTGCAGGCTCTATGGGGGCAGAGCTCATGAAAAATAAAATAAACAATGGCCACTGCTAGCACTTCTGTCTATATGAAATACTTCATATGAAATACTGACTTTTGTCCTGGGCACTCCATTTTGGGAGTGACACTGACAAAATAAAGCATATTCAGAGGGATTTGAGGCATCTGCATATTAGGAATATTTAGCCTGCAAGTGAAGGCTTAGGAGGGACAAGCACCTTCAGAAGTCTCAAGGGTTATCAAAGGGAAGACAGTCTATGAAGCTCCAGGGAAAGAACTAAGACCAATGGGTAAAACTTACAAGGAGGCAGACTTCTGTTCTGTATGAAGGAGAACTTTCTAACATTCAGAGCTGTCCAAAATTATGACAACCTGACTCAAAAGGAGGGAGCTCCTCCCATGGGAAATATTCACTCAGAGGCCGAGAGACCATCTGTCACAAATGTTGACAGGGAAGCTCTGCATTGGGTTAAAAGTTGGCCCAGATAACCTTAAGAAATCAGTGAGATTTTTTATCATATAAACATACCTATAAGGCTTTATAGAAGAGATGAAACATGAGCAGGGTCTTACGTTAACCTCATGTTTTTCTTCTTGACATGCCCACTGTAGTACAGAGAGGGGAAGAAACTGAAACCCAAACCTAACTACAACAGTGTGGACCTTTCTGAGGTGGAGTGGGAAGATCGAACTGAAACTGTGAGTGGGGAAGTGGGAGGAGCTGGTGTACCTCTACTGCCAACACAGAGTCAACTGCATGACTGGAAGCTTCAAGGTTGCTCTATGCCTCTCAGGGGAGCCTTTCCAAGCCCAACCCAGAAAATTCCTTTAATGAGCAATTCTTTAAAAAACTCTAAAAATATAAAAATATCTTCCTGAATCACAAGAATCACTGAGGCTGCATGAGTTCATGTCTATAAGCTACAGAGTTGAAGTTCTAGTGATGTTTTAGTCTGGTTTTTGGTGTCAGTAGCGCATCCTAGAGGAAATTATCTAAAGGTACTATGACACCATGTTCCCTCATATATCAGTCCACTTTGGAACATTATCTTAGTGAATTTTCAGAACTATAATCTAAATGGAGCCTAGAATCAGTTCACTACTACCTCTCAATATCCCGTTCAGAAGAAAAAGGGAAGAACCAAAAGTGTTCCTAGGGATCACCTCCAATCTGGTCAGTAAAGGTCCACTCTCTAGTGTGAAGGAACTAATTTCATTATCTTTCTTCTTAAAGCTGAGAACAGCTATGATCAATGGGGAAACAGGTTCTCTCTCTATGGATGTGAAGGTTCCACTGGACAAAGGGGTAAGGTGCTAGAGGGAAAGAGCCAGGGTCTAATCCCAAGAGGCAATATTGCCATTAATTGAGGTTTGAGGTGGTGACAAGGAACTTGGACTTAGCTAAATTAGAGCTTGGGACTTGAGGGCTTGATTAAAAAGCATATCCAAGTGTGCCTCAGCCCCAGAGAAGCATCTGGACAAGGAAATATTGTTCACATCAGTGCTGGGTTCTTTGGTAACTACTGTCTGAGGCAGTAGGCCAGCCCGAATAGTTTACAACTCTTCTTTCTTCCTTATGCTGCCTGCTACTTGGCCCTTTTGTTGTTTATGATAGAAAAGAAAAAGGTGACAGTTAATTTTGCAAATTTCTAGTAGTTCCTATAAAACACAATCTATAGGAAGATGTTAAAAATAATTGTTATTCTCTATAGCTGATTTTTATCCACTGTAACCACAGATGCCCAAGAATCAATACTCTCACCAACTGTCTTTATAGACCTGCACATAAAAGATCATTTCACCCTCTCATTTAAAAATTTCTGATGCATTTTTAGTGAATTTCCATTGTCCCTTCACATATTTACAAATGTCACCTCCTCCCTCATAGCCACCCCCACCACCTCCTCCTGTTGCCCATCTGTCTCAGCTAAAAGAACAGAGGCATCTGTCTACAACAATTAGACCCAAGTTCGATAAACACAAACCTCCATGAAAGCCAAACAAAAAGCACTGGGAAGGAAAAACAATTCATACGATTCCTTTGAAATTCACAGACTGATTGTCACTGGGACCAATATCTGATTTCTGTGGCAGCTGCCTTCTTTTTATAAGTTCTGGGCTGAGAAGGGCCTCCTTTAGGCAAACTTGGCAGTACCAGTGTTGTGACACCATCAGTTGCAGGCAGCTGCTTCTCTTGATCCAGAAAAAAAATAGAGGTTTCTTCCATGAGCCTCCACCTTGATCCCAACCAGACACCAGCTCCTGTGCACAAGAGAGCTCTCTCCTAGCCCAGCCCTACCAGAGCTTTTAAGCACTTGTTTCTGTACTATAAGGAAAACTTGAACATGCCCATGGCATACGGCAACTTCAGGACTGATTTGAATGTGGCTATACTGTATTGAATTCAGACCAGCTTATGAAGTAAGTGTGGTTTGTCGACCATCCTTTCCTTCTCATGCTGCCTTAGCACTTCTTGTAACCACCATGGGAGAGTCCTAACCACATCCAGGCAGCCTGAACTGCTCCTGAAACCCCTGCCCATCCCTTTGAAATTTGTTCTTTGCTGCTAATAAATCATCCAAGTCAAATCTGCAATTTAATAATGTCTTCTTGACACATGATGCTTAAACATAAAGAAATAGAGTGATGAGGACCATCGTCACACCACGATGGACATTTCATAACACATTCATGTTTGTGCCTTACTACTACTAACAAAATAATAATAACTAATAATGGCAGCTAACATTTATTAGAAACTGGACCAAGCACTTAATAGGCATTCACTCACTTAATACTTACAATCTTATAGTAGGTACTATCTATCCTATCCCCATATTACAGATGAAGAAATTTCCAGGTTAAAAACTTGCCCAGGGTCACTGAGATGATTAACTGCAAAGCTTAGAATCAGATCCCCATGGATCGGAGTCTAGACCACACACTCCTGACCACTAATGTATAAAGCCTTTCTGTAGGACTGATCCTGAATTCTCAGCTCACCCTTCAGCCTTAAGATTTCCCAAGAGTGTCTTTAGAATAGCATTACTATTTTATCTTTACAAGTTATTGTCTTCTTCTCTCCCTTTACCCCATCACATCAAAATTTGGCCCTCTTTAATCTTTCCTCTCTTTACTCTCATGCCAGAAGCCACTGCACCTGCACTGTGTGTGGGGGATGTTTTGCTGTCACAGGGGAATAAAGCCTGCTGTCACAGTACCCAGCCTCTTACTGCTTTGATCAATAATGATGCCACTCTTTCCCAATAATGCTCCATTTCATTCACCACCAACTGCTCTGTCTCTCCTGCATGTCCTCTCCTTTCACAGGGTAACAGTCAGTCTCTCTGTTTTCTTGCCTACCAATCTTTCCCAGCCCTCCCTCAGCTCAGTGGCTCATCCCACCTGACAAGCTTGTTCCTCAGTGGAAGCAAAGTTTAGGCTAAGGGAAACTTTCTTAAAGCACAGACCTCCATGGAAGCCAAACAAGAAAGGCCTGGGGAGGAAAAACAATTTATTGTATTCCTCTTATCACTCAAGCCATCCTCATGGTGGGTGATAACGTGTTTTGTTGTTTTCCCCAGGAGATTTGGCATGCATCCTTATTTCTCACCAATTATTCAGGCCTTTCTAAATTTCCCCTAAACTCCAGACAGGTAACTATGGTGACATGACCATGGACAGTAGCAGCAACTCCAGCATGATTCAGAGCAGGACTCACAAACTCAAAAACCTATGGGGCCAGACAGGCCATGTTCAGAAATGTGAGTGAATGAAGCAGATAAGCCCCAGTCCCAGGGGTGTTCAGAACTAAGATAAACTGGAGAGTACATGTGCCATCTAAAGAAGACAGCTAGGAATCCATTTTTTTTAATGTGTGCATCTAATTCCAAAAATGTTATAAACACAATCTGAGCCAATATCTAGCATATCAAACTTGTAAAGAGTCCAAGTTTGGCCTGCAGGCCTCCTACTTACCACCTTGACAGAAAGATATTTACCCCCAAAATGTGGACCAATATCAGGCATCATAATTCTTAACTCATCAGTAGCATCCTGGGACACATATTAAAGGAAATTCAGAAAAGCAGAGTATCCTGGAACATCTTATCCTAGACCCTTTCACTTTCATGTTGTCTGATAGTGTAGAACAAATATTTAGTAGCAGGGGAGGGAGAGAGGCACACATGGTGTTTTTTACTGGCCTTCAGACTCTTCCAAGTTAACCCTGCTGAAGTGAGTGCATGGCACACACACACACACACACACACACACACACACACACACACACACACCCAGCAGCTGGCACAGGCATTAGGGCAGCTTCACCAAATGTTCCTCTGCCTTCTAATCCCTATGTACTGGATTCGAGGAGACAAATTAGAGTGCTCTGTGGTAACCTCTCATTCTCATTCTCTCTCCCTCTCTCTCTCCTTCTCTGTCTCTCTCACATACACACACACACAGGAGGCAATCTATTAAAGGGAGAGATTGTTATGATACTTCTTTACTTTCATCCTCCAAACCTCTCCAGCTTTCTCTTTCTGTTAATGAGATTCAGGTATATCCCTCCTCCTCCTTCTCCCTTTCTTTTGCTTTAGTCTTAAAAGATGACCTCAAAGTTCTGATTTTGATCATGAGGGAGTAGTCTGCATTTAAACTAACCTTGCAGCAGATGACAATTATAAATCTGAAAAATATATAAAAAAACAAACATTTAAAGACACATGAAAGTGACCAAAAGCAGGCAGAAACAAAGGTCGAAGGGGATTTCAGCTGCTGCCTATATGGTAGTGGGGACAACTTGAAGTCTGAGTCACACTGAGGTAGAGAAGCTTAATAAACACCTCAAGAATTTTTTGAGAACACAGAAGAGTGACATTTTAGGGGTGCAGATTATGTGTCAAGACCTTGGGGATTCACCCTAAGACTAACAATGAAGTTGAAACAGACCCAATTCACAAGCTCCATAAGTTCAGATGAGCAGCCAATAATCTGTCTGCTGATAAAATAAAAATCAACACTCTTTAGAGGGAGACAATATGTCTACCACCTATTCTTTACTATAGTCAGTATACAATAAAAATTATCAGACATGTAAAGAAATGGGAAAATGTGACACATAGTTGAAAGAAAAAACATCTTAAAATGGATTCAGAGATGACCCAGTTGTTTAAATTAGAGGGACATTAAAGCCTATATGATACATTTGCACAAGGAATTTTAAAAAAGTAGTCGTAGACCTGACTGGTGTAGCTCAGTGGGTTGAGCGCGGGCTGTGAACCAGAGTCGCCAGTTCAATTCCCAGTCAGGGCACATGCCTGGGTTGTAGGCCAGGTCCTCAGTGGGGGCCACCTGAGAGGCAACCACACACATGTTTCTCTCCTCTTTCTCCCTCCCTTCCTCTCTCTTTTAAATAAATAAATAAATAAATGAATAAATAAATAAATAAATAAAATCTTTTTTTTTTAAGTAGTCATAATAAGTGACTAGATGGGGAATCTCAGCAAAGAAATTATTACTGTTTGACATGTGGTGGAAGCAAGAGCAAACTGAAACCCATGAGGAAACACAGGAACCTATGAGGAAAAACTAAAATCCAAATTTGTCTCTCACTACCTCCATCCACAATGATGTCAGTGACCTGCAGATAGAGCTAGTGCTTTCCACCCGAAGCTGCAGGGCTCAGATCTCAGAGAAACTGAAGGAGGAGATCCAGTGGCAGCTCTGAAGAAACCTTAAATGTGGCTGTTTACCCAGGCCAAGTAGGTTAGCCAACAGCTCAGAGCAAGCTACACATGCCTGATACTTATCTTCAGCATGTAAAATGGTTCTTCTTCACTTCTGCCTTAAAAATCTCATGCAAGCTTCTCTTTTGGCCAGTCCCAACTTGGAACTATATAGGGAAGTGAATCTGGAAATGTAATTCAGCTTAGTTGATTTGACACAGTACAAAATTTCCACAATAACCAAATACAGTTTTAGAACTAAATAATACAGTTTCTGAAATGAAATTTTTACTGGGTGGGAATTCTGGTCAAGATATCAGACTATGTAAACATTACGCTGAGCTCCTCCTATAACCATTTCAAAATTATAACTAAATTACATAATAGCCATCAGTGAGAACAGCCTGAAGACTAGCTGGACAAAAGTCCTACAACCAAGGATATAAAGAAAGGGCCATGTTGAGACTGAAGGGGAGGAGACACAAAAGAGGCTGTTCCCACACCCATGTGTGGCAGTACAGAATCAGGAGGGATATCTCAGCACAGAGATGCTCCCTGAAGAACCAGGGGACCCAGC